GGTGCAGGACCAAGTGGCAAACTACTGCTGAAAGGGTCTGCCCCTTGTGCAGTTGCTGAAGGATAGAAAAAGATGAAGGAAAAGGTTTTTATCACACTTCTCAATATGAGTTTGTAATGGATTAGCATCACTTCCATATTTCAGACCAACAATGAAGCTTAACAAGGCTGTATGAACAGCTCTTTGTCTGTCTGTTCCATGAGGTCTCAAGACCCTTTTGGAAAAACAAACAATAGGACTGCAGTAAATGTCGGCCTTTCTCCTATGATTCTCTGTTTTGTTTTGTTTTCTTTAACTTTTAAACAGATGTTCAATTCATGCCTGTTATTGCCTACACTGGACAGGATCTAACTCACTTGGACTACAGAAGTAAAAACAGGCAGAAAACCCTGCAGGTGAAGGATAATTCTGTTATTAGAAAAAGCTGTGGTAGAATTTAACTAGACACTCAGTAACTGGCTGAAAGGTTTTCAGCACTTGCAACCTTCCTGTCCTAGAGGTCCATGTTCTAAATCTTCCTGTAACTCTGCCGGGTGTAAGATAATGAATTCTGCTGTGATGTCTCTTACTGAGAGAAATCCAGTGTACTGAAGAACTCAGGCTCTGGTGAGGATGAATTCTTACATTTCTTTAAAACAGAATGAAAAATCATGCCAGATTTGCAACCAACAAAAGAAGTTACAAAAGAAACCATCCAAGGGTATTTTGAGAAAGCCAAAATATATGAAAAAGCATTTATGCTGTAGACTTTTGAAGTGTACCTAAACTGAGTTTGACTTTCCAAAGGAAATTAAAACACACAGTAAAAGACTGTTGGTTAAAGAAACAGGAATATTAGGAATTGATTGGAGGTGCAGGGGGGATCTAGTTGAATAAAAGTACCTAGGTAAGACAGAGAAGAAAAATGAATGCTTTGCTTCAGTTTTCAGGGGGGTTGGGGGATGGATATCCCACACATCATGGTGCAGGGAAATCAAGGAACAACGTGCAAAACAAACTCCAAAAGCCTAACACCATAAACTCCTGAGGGAACCTATGGTCTCCATGCCAGAATTCTGAGAGAAACAGCACAGAGAATAGCCATTCAGCAGAGAGGGTTTTTAACAAATGTTTTAATGTGCTAAGAACAGCAATTTCAATACACACTCTGAACTTCTCACAAAGCTAGAGAACTTGGGCTCCTCAGTCACTGCTTCCATGAACATAAGTATAGTAAAAGCATCTTGCATAGAGCATATGAACCCTTTGCCCTCTTCTTTGTCTCAGTAAAACCTGAACAGCTGCTCACTTGTTTATCCTCCAAAAAGAACAAAGAATTCTGTGAAATGTTTGACTTGGTGACTTTGTTTCCACTGTTCTTGGGATAATTGCTAGCATGACTATTAGTGCTCTAGTTACCAGTAGTTATTATTCTTTTAAAGTCATTCCTTTCCACTAGAGTTTATACCCTAATGGGATATTGGTAGCTGGTATTTCAATCCAGCTGTCTCATATTTTTCAACTAAAAGCACCTTCATACAGAAGTTTTTTACAAAGTTCTACCATTAATCTTAATATTTTGCAGCATTTAATGTGTATTGTTTTAACAACCATTAACCTGTTTCCTATGACTTTTCTACATATTTCACACGGAAGAATTGCCTTTAATTGTACTATTTAATCTAATCTACTTCTGTAACATCAATATCCTGATTAAAATGTTATGCAGATCATGTACAAATGCTCCTGTGCAAGATCAAGCCCACAAAAATCTCTAAAACACAACAAAAATGGGATCCTTAGAGTCAAAAAAATACTGAGAACTGTGGATACACCCTGGATCAACTATCAGTTATTTCTCATTGACAGCTGCCTCTGCATCAAGCAGTGCTTGTAAGTGAGCAATGAAAAGCATCTCAAGGGGAGCAGCCCCTGATGCCAGAGGCATTTCTGTTCCAGCTCAGCAGTATCACACACCTGCCAGTGTGGCTGCTCTCAAGTGTGGCCTCATACCTTGCAGGACTGCAATCAGTGTTTTACATATATTTGGTTAAGCTTGGACATTGAAATGCTTAGCTGGTAATTTGCATTAACAATAGTATTGGACAGCATTTTACATTTAAGAACTGTATTTTTAAAAACATTCTTTCTGTGTAATTACATGTTCAAAATGCTTCCTGAGAAACTGATCTGAAGAATTTCTGCTTTTACTGCCATGCTGAAAAATTGCCCCTTGTGAATGAGTGGCCTCATCCATTTACATTTCCCAATTATTTTTTGTCAATGAGTTCCTGCCCTGATTCAGCCTTGCAATGAATCCCCTGTAAGCAGCAAGGTGCCATTCTCTGGCCTCAGAACATCTCATTTCCTCACCTTGGCTGCTACACTAACAGTGCATGTCTGAGTAACACCCAGATCCACTAAAGCTTCTTCCAGGGAGCTGGCATTGTCTGGAAATATCTAACCAGGAATGCAAACACATCCTGGCTCAGAAAATGAAAGGCAGGCTTTTCTCAGCACTCTCTGTGCTGGCAATCACTATCTCCAAGGGATGCTGGAGTAGCTGACTAGCATTTCACCAAACCTCAAAAAAACCTTCTCATGGCTGTGGCTGAACAATGGGATTCATTAAGGAGAGAGCTCACATCCTTTCTAACCATTTTTAACTCTCCTGAGCTCTGGTCAGGACTTGCAAAGCAGCAGTGGCAGATGGTCCTGAGAGAAGCCATTCCAGGGCTGCTGTGCCCTCAGGATTTCATGGGTGCACAGCCCAGGTGCTGCACTCTGGGCACCCTCTGGGCCTTGGGCTGTCACAGCCTCAGCACACCTGAGGCTTTTCCCCTCACATCACCTGAGTGACAGTCCCACACAGACACCCTATGAGGCTTTTCCCCTCATATTCCTGAGTGACAGTCCCACAAACACACCCTATGAGGCTTTTCCCCTCATATCACCTGAGTGACTGTCCCACACAGACACCCTATGAGGCTTTTCCCTTCATATTCCTGAGTGACTGTCCCACACAGACACCCTATGAGGCTTTTCCCCTCATATCACCTGAGTTACAGTCCCACAAACACACCCTATGAGGCTTTTCCCCTCATATCACCTGTTACAGTCCCACAAACACACCCTATGAGGCTTTTCCCCTCATATCACCTGAGTAACAGTCCCACACAGACACCCCTACAGAGCACTCCAAGGAAATACTGCAGAGCTGAGTCTGCCTTTTCACAGAAACTGACTGAAGGTGTGTTACACTCCTCAGTGCAAATTCCCCAGAAATGCAAAACTCCAGAAAGAAATACACAGTCGTGATCATGGAATTCAAGCCTAAGACAAATGGACATAAAGAAGACCCTTATCTCACTGAGAAACAGAAGCAACTTTGTAATCCTAAAAGACCCAAGGGTCCCTGAGTCATTAAGGGAGGGATGAGCAACACCAGCATTAAATGAAGCTTACCTAGAAAAAACTGAGATGTCCCAATGAAAACTTCTTAGCCTGTGCTCACTGACACAGGAGCTGACCTGAAGACCTGAGCAAGCATCACCCACAATCTGGTTTGTTTGGTTTGGACCTACACCCAGCTCACAAACTCTCACTGCTATGGGACACACACTGGATGTTTCAGGGTCAGTCCTCAGTGTACAAACAGCTTCCTAACTGACACCTGCAATAAGGATGAGACATTGTAATCATTCTGCACATCTGAATTCTACTTTACCTCACACAATGCAGTATGTTAAGACTCATGTTCTTCACATTAGAATGGTTTTGGTTGGAAGGGACCTTTAAAGGCCACCAAGTCCAACACCCCCTGCAATGAGCAGTTTGCTCAGAGCCCTGCAGCCTGGCCTGGAATGCTTCCAGGGATGGGGCTTCTACCACCTTGCTGGGCAGCCTGTGCCAGTGTTTGACTGGCACTCACATTGCAATAAATTTCTCCCTTTTATCTAGCTAAATCTCTCCTCTTTCATCTAAAATAATTACCCCTTGCCCTATCACAACAGGCCCTACAAAAAACTCTGTTCTCATTTACAAGCCCCTGTAAGTACCCAAGGGCTGCAGTATGGCCTCCACAGAGACTTCTCCAGCCCCAGCTTTCCTCGTGGGAGAGGGGCTCCATCCCTCTGATGGAGGGATGCCCTGTGCCTCCTCTGCAACACTCCAACACTCCCTGTCCCTGCTGTGCTGAGACCCCAGAGCTGGAGGAGCTCTGCAGGAGGGGTCTCACCAAAATGGAGCAGAGCAGCACACCCACCTCCCATCAGCTGCTGCTCATGGCTTTGCATTCACAAGAAAAGGAATCTGTTTCCTACCATGTTCTCAACTGCACAGTCAGTGCAGAAGATAAACTTCCTTGGAAAAATCTATCTATATTGTTATTAATGCTCCATCTTATATTGAAATGAAATTGCTGAACATACAGACATTGCAGCTCAGTTGTTTTATCATTCTTTATGAAGATATTTGAGGGAAATTCTGCATCTGAAAAAATTCTGGCTTGAATTTAAAAAATAAGCTTCTCTGATTCAGTTTCTGAACTTCACGAAAAACACAAACATAAGGGCAGTGATTGTAACTGTGTGAGACAAAGAAATCAGGTTCTGGTGTAAGGCTGAAAGAATTTGATATGGGAATATCAGAATCACCTGGAAATACTCTCTCTCCTACATTCCACAGGTTAAAGCTGAAGAACTACAAGATTTGGTTTGTAGCTGCAAGTTAGCAGCTAATGAAGTGAACAAAGATCTTTACCAACCAAACAAAAGTATGTATTTTTAAAGAAGTAAAGACATTTTTGTGCAACATTCTGGCGTGGTACTCAATGCAGTTCTAGACTTGTGCAGTTACAATCACACATTTCACTGTAACCCAGGTTTCCCAGGCAGTTAGTTCATCCTGGATATGAGCTTGGGGGCATTTATCACACACATAGCTCTGAATGCTCCCAGAAATGCCCTGACATCCTGGCCCATCTCAGCCATTGGTATGAAAAGAACAAATTGCAGACTCACCCGAATCATCATGACAGAGCACCTGATGTTGTGGATCGTATCATACACCTTCTTGGAAATGTCAACAAACTGGTTGTCATCAAACAGATGCACGGTGTTCTTGCTTAAGCTCTCCAATGCAATATTTACTTGACTAATAAACTCTGGAATCACTATTAAAAAAAACCAAAAAACAACAAAATTCAGTGAGCATAAAAGAACATGTAGTTTATTTCTTTTTGGCAAAACACCTGACATTGATAAAAACTTTATTTTCTAAAAAGCATTACAGTAATAGTGCAATTACTTTTAAGTGAGAATACATTTGTAGTTTTATCACAGTTATAAAAATGCCCATGGTAAGCACATAAGCTGTGGGTGGTTGTACAGTATTAAAAGAAGAAAGAAGTTTTAAAAGAGGAGCTGGGGGAGCAGTTGCAAAAATTTGTTGGTGATTTCAATAGCAATTTTACCCAGACAATCAGGATGAACAACCTGGCTTAAAGTTAAACCGCTGCTGAACAGACTTCCACTATTTCCCAATCTGCTTTCATTCTGAATGGAGATGTAACCAGCAGAAGATTGATGTTTATTCTTCAACTGAGCAAGTCCCACAGCTGTAACCCGAATTTACCAGGGCAATTTATCCTGTTTGAATCAAACAAACTGTGCATTTGAGCCAGTTGGATTTTAGCCTGTGCTTCACCCAGAAGGGCTGGGGGTTTTCTGCTGCTGCCCCAGGGGTTTGTTCTGCATGGTGACCTGGCAGCACTGCATCTCCCTCAAGCCTTCACACCACCCTGCAGCAAAGGAAACCCAGCACAGAATACAGGAGGAATGCAGATGGAAAATCCATCACACACAGAAGGACCCCAAACAAGCCCAGACCAAACTCGTTTCCTGTCCCTTGGAGTCTGAGGACATAGAGGAAACAAATGCAGAAGGATAAAACTGAACTTGTGTAATATTCAATATCAGTAACAAACCTCATGGTACTAAAGCTCTCTCTCTGGCAATGTGTTGGTTTCAAACATTAATATTGTCTGTGTTCCACCCCCCACAATTCCACACAGTGCAATTCACAAATCACTGACACACGAAAGCACTACTACTAATACCATTGATGTGAAACATTTCAGGCAAATCTTGAAGTATATAATACATCTGTAGGCAGACAAAGCTTCAGCTGAAGACATGATGCTTCCTGAATTAGAAAACCTGGCAATTTAATACTTTAGTATTAAATAGAAAAGGTGCCCCAATAATGCTTTCCTCCCTAACTTTGATGAGGAGACCCACATAGCCCTTGGAGACAGTTAAATGCATTCTCAAATTACTGTAACTTCATTGTCTTTGAGCCAACAAGTAGTTGCCACTTAATTTGAAAAACAGGGTATTTAAAATCAGTGCCTCTTCAGAATATCACTGGAATTGTCATATCTTCAAAAAGGTCAGGGGAAAGACTTATAATAGCACAGAAAAAATACAAGGCATTTTTCATTTGCAATCACATAAAATAATTAAGAACAAGTGCCTATTTATTGGTCTAAAAAAAAAAAATCAAAGAAGCATCACTTATTGAGAACTTTTCATCATTTTGTAATGGTTTTCTTTGTAGTTAAACAAAGATTTTGGCCTTAGACTATCAAAATAATTCCAAGTGGAGCAACCCAGGCTGCACTTGAGTCCAGAACCACCACTCAGGGCCCTCCTCCAGCAGCATTTCAGATGGGGCTTTGCAGCAACAGCACTTTTACATGACAATTAAAACACAGGACTTAATGCAGTTCTAAAGCATGTACACACCAATCTGCTAATGAAGTGTGAAAATACACCTGGGCTATCAAACAGGCCTTATTTCCTGCTCATTTTTCCTGAAAGTGATAGGACAACTCCCTCAAATCCAAGACTACTGGGATTTATTTCAGTTTTGAGCTCCCAATCAATGACTAAAAAAAAAAAAGCATTTTGGTGCATATATGAGCTCCTACCCATGGATAACTGACATCCAAAATACTTCATAGACCTCAAACAGTCAGGCAACCCTCTGAAACACTGCATCAAGTGGACTGAATTGCACCAATAATGTGCATATTTCCTGTACTCGGCTTTATTTTTCTAGGCAGCCTAAATATAGTAGAGAAGTGGATGCAACTGAGAACAGGAGGAAATTACTTATTTTTTCAGTCTTTGAAAAGCAAAATAAAACTAGTAAAATTAAAAATATCAAGTGTTAGACAACTGAGAAGTACTAAATTTTTATGGGGATTTATTTGTTTTATTTGTACATTTTATTTCTGTTTTCTTTGTGTTCCATTCTGTTTCTCCTGCAACAAAAATTAAAAGCAAATTTCAATATGAGCATCTGTAATTGTGCTTTCCCTGAGAGGGAAGGTGCAGAAAGGAGGATGTTTGGAAAATACCAATATGTTCAGAAGCATAATGTTCAAAGTCCCTAAAGTAATTAAAGATTTCACACTATCAAAAATATATTATTGAAATTAAACTAATTTGCTTTAAAATTCATCAAGTGTTTCCTAATTCCACTGGTTTTTTTTAAAGAATACTTTTCATATTTCTTTGTAGGCATGTCTTCTTAGTCTTCTAATGTTTTTGCTTGATTTTGTAATCTTCAATCAAAACCAACAAATGAAGCCAGTTTGTAGTTTAATAGCTGTCAGGGCCCAGCTCTTCACACAGCAAACTAAACTTCACTAATCCCTTCTTTCCAATTAGCAACTCTGTGCCTGTTATTTTTAACAATAAAACAATCAGGAAAACAGATTCTCAGCTTTGCACTGTGTTTGTACCTTTTACTTCAGCTGTGCCAAGGGACTACCCCACTTGAGCCACCACCAAAGCTGCTGACAGTGAAAAGCCAACAGGCTGCAGAGCCAAACTGTGCCCAACACTCAAACACACCTGGCCAGACAGGAACAGTCACCACCTCCTAGAACTGACCCCAGAAAATGTATTTCTTTTTTTTTAATTCAAAATCTTTACAATTCTTCACTCAGGGGAAAAAAAGGGAAGAAACTAGCAAACCCACAATTTATCCCAAGAGAAAGAATTAGTGGTAAATAAGCCAAGTTTCCCTTCAGTGTTTATTTGCACGTACAAAGACTCTGAGCAACCCCCCCAGTGGTGCCAGCAGAGTGAGGAAAGGCTGGAGAGCTCCCACTGGAACAAAGGCTGAAGAGCTGCTCCTTCAAAGGCAGCTTTAAAATGGAAGTGAGAGCACAGGCAGTGACTGAAGCTCTCTGTGGCACAGCTTCAGAGCCCAGCTACACACACTGCAGCCCTGCCACAGCTCTGCCTTCACTCCAGTGGCCTCTCAGCACAGGAGACAACTCTCCTGGGGATTCAGCCACCTGCAGACATCTTCTGTGCACAAACAAGTCATTAAAAAAAAACAAAAAACAAAAACCTGGGCAAGCTGGAGTGAAAAAATGATTTTCCTTCTGAAGGTAAGAAAATCAGGGTAAGTTGCTAGTCATGAGTTAGGACTCTAAGAGGAGGAAAACTTGCAAAAACCCACCTGAAGTACAGTCAAGTATGGCCTAAAAAGCTACTGGATGAGTTTCATATGAAGCTAGCATGCTAGCAGAGCCCTGAAATAAAGCAGATGTGCAGCAGGCAAGCTAACAGAGGTGTGAGCAGCCCAGACCCACCCCAAGGCACAGGTGGGGACAGCAGCAGAAGGGACTTGACACAAGAGCTGTGTACCCCAAGTACTTCGTTATTCCCCCATAACCTGATCACCCAGCATGAAAGTCAGTGTGACGGGTACATCAGGTTCCTTACAGAGGACTTAAGCAGCTTTCCAGCTGCAAAAATTCAGTGGAAGTAAAGAAAAGTATGGTTGTAAAGATTAAAAACACAGCTGCCTGTTAAATGCAAGGTAATACTAGAGAAAGGTAAGAAATCTAGATAATAGCCACACAGCCTCTATTCAGTGCTTCTTTATTTAATTACATTCTTTGAGATCAGGTAATAGTTTGCACTTCCTGTGATTTAAAAATGAGCATTTGTAAATTTCTTCTCAAAAGGTGTCTAAGAATTCCAGATGGTAAGAACACTGCCTATTCCAGTAAGCCAATTTTATTGCTAATTATTATGTCTCCTCTTCATGTCATTGGAATAAATAATGGTACATAAAGAATGAAAAAATAAAACCCATCTAAGCTGAGGCAACTGGGCTGGCTAAGGGACACCATGTGAAATAAAAGGGATCTGCTGGCAGCAGCCTGAGTCACAGCACCCAACATAAAATTCGGAATGGAACAGATTGTTTCAGTGACTGATGGAGATAGCTTCGTTAGAGGTGTTCCAAAATACACTGAAATAATAATGGAATTACTGCAAAAAAAAGAGTACTGTGCACTCACTGGAAAAGGATGAGCTGAATAACACAAGCAGGTTTTGAAACTGCAACCACTTGTGACTCTTACAAATCCACATAAAGCAATCCTAACGCGAAGATGAAGCAGCTCCTGAAGCTAATTTCACTATGGTACAAACTCCTAATTCAAGCCTCAATTTCTGTGATACAATGTTAAATTGGTAACTTCTTACTTTGCCACTGTATCCAAAGGCTTTCTAAGGAATACATTTACATATATCTACATATATATGTACATGAATGAAGCAGAAGAGCTTTGTGAATATAGGTATTTGATATACCCCTATATTAGCATTCACCTTATTTGGTAACAAGTTTACAGGTTTTATGCAGAAGAGATTAACTATTTGTGGGACTTGCAGCACCTGAAAGAGCTCATTTTCCTTTGGCAGATTCAATCCTAGGCCAGTGTATGAGAGGCACGATCTCAGAACCCCCCATTGTCCCCTCCTTGACTATTTAGAGCATAAAGATCTATAAATTATCCTAATGGAATTTAGTATTTCATGCCAAAGTTTCTGCATAATAACGGTGTAATAGAACATGAAGTAGTCCAGGGAGAGGCCTGCTGCACATAAAAAGTTTCCTAACAAAAAGCAAGCTGTATCTGCCTCTCTAACTCAGACCTGTGCCAGCTGCAGCTGTGCATTTTGCAGCTTGCAAAGCTGGCAGACTGCTGGCAGACCCACAAAACACAGCTGAGTGTGTATATACATGTAGACATGAGTATATAATTACTTAGCTATGTACAAATGGGCATCATGAATATTT